CAGATTTAGTTACCAGACTGGTCGAGGTGGAGATGATCACGATGATAACAACAATAATAATTGTTTTACGAATCCGAAAATTTAATGCTTGCACCGGTCTCAAAAACCTCCCTCCATTGTCTCACTGATCTTGCCCTTCGCCTTTCAAATAATTTCTTGCTATATTCAGAAACACGTTATTACTCGTCGTCTTTCCATCTCCTCTGTTTTCTATTTACTTCCACTTTTGTTTCCTCTTTCTCTGTCGACTTTTATTGTTGTCCTATATTTCTTCCGTCAGCTTCTCAACCCTAGCAACCATCTCCTTCATCTCCTTCTACTACTTTTCTTTGTCTACGTATTATTTTCTCCTACTTTCCCTGGCTCTCCTTCTGTTACGTTTCATCATCCTGACCTTCATCTCACCATCCTCCGGATTGGATTTTTAGCAGACGCAGCAACTTGTGTGTTATGAAACTGTCTGATTCGATTTCCAGTATCGAACGTCTCGGATCACGGAATCTCCAGAACGTACATTCCAGACATCGAGCCAGAATGCTGGAAGTCGAACATCATGGCGCCTCTGGTGCGCAGTGCCAGCCGTTTCCTGTTCCCCTGCACGGTGGAGTACAGTCTACTCTGTGCAGTCATCCTGGGCGTCATGTGGATCAACGCTTGTTCTGAAAACAAGAATCAACACAGCGACCCTACGACGCCCGACAGCCCGACAGGGCGAGTGAGTGGCGTCAATATCATCTACACGCGGTCCGTCAGCCAGTTCTCTGTCGACTGTACCAGCGCGCATAAGGGTCTGTTCGCAGGCATCCTAATGCTGGTGCTATCCATCGTGAGTCTGATAATGTTCTACGAGCTGGTGCAGCGGCCACAGTATGTCGACGAAGCTGTCTTGCAGGTGAGTCCCCCAGACTCTCCACACACAACCTTAGAAGAGGTCATTACCATAACCACGTCTCTGTCAATTCATCACTGACAATCGACCAGCTACTCAGCACTACGTAATCTACGCAGACGACAAAAGATCGTCAAATCATCCACAGCTAAAATTTATTTTCGAGAAAAGACAAAAATTCTAGTGTCACCTCTAACACCAACGATGTTTCTTGGCCACAATTCTGTACAAATTCCTCGTTTTCCCACCCGAAGACGAGTTCTGCTCTCCGTGATTAAAATACTCAACCTGAGCTGTATGAGTCATCAAGTTTCAAGTACGGACTCGATGACAGGGGTTCGATTCTCAGCAGGGGCAGGGATTTTCCATTGTGAGTGCTGTGCCCAGGCTGGCTCTGAGGCCCACCTACACAACCTACCCAGAAGATATCAGGACTAGATAGTTCAGCCATTTATCTCCAATTAGTGATGGGGTTAAAATTGAGTGGAAATATATCTGCACGCATCCACGTCTTCGTGACGTTGTTCTCAAGACAGGACATCTCTATCTCTCTTAACCCTTACCATTATCCACTTGCATCGTTCAATCTGGTATAGGAAATTAACCAACTTCTCAGATGGAGACTGAATAATATATTATTTACAAATCAGCTTTTCAGAATCAATCAAACACGAAATAATTGTGCGTACAAGAGGGAAATAATGAAAGGAGTGGGAAAAGAATGGACAAAAACTTAGATCGTCACAAATTTGCCTCCTTCAGAGTACCAACATATAAAATTTCAAGAATCCGCGTTGAATACAACCACTACGTTTATCGCCTCACGGTCTCAAATGACAGCCATGCTGACATTATGTAACACGATGAGTTTAAATAAGTATCAAAATCATGATTTATGGGGAACTATGTGCATATGCTCCTACATCCAGACGGCTACAGACACAAGCAGTTTACTAATGTGTTTCCAAGGGAATTCTTCATTTTATTAATAAAATCAACGCCGAACCTCTCACATGTTTGCTCTTTTCCGTTTATGTCAGTGGCTGTCTCGATCTTTCGTGAAACGTTCATCTTCTTCCAATTAGGCATTACGGGATCGCGTATGTGCTAAAATCATTTGTATGCTGCTTGTTTGTTTTGCCGTTTTGTATCGCTTGCATACGCGTCCAAAAACCATACATACCAAATGACCATGGTTGACTTTGTTTATCCTTTTATTTATGCTTTTAAACCAAGAAGCCTGTTGTTTTAGAGGAGTGTGCTGGCTCTAAGCGAAGAATTACATAGATGTCTGAGATACATGTTTTGATGGTAATATTTACACTTAAGGTCGACTAGCGAAACTTGGTTTCTCACTTTGAGGGAGGAACATAGATTGAGGGTCATTGAGATCAGAGTGTTGAGGAATATGTTTGGACCAAAAAGGGAGAGAGACGGATCATGGAGAAAATTGCATGATGATGTGCTCCACGGCCTGTACTCCTCACCTGATACTGTTAGGGTGATTATATCGCGGAGGATGAGGTTGGCGGAACACGCGTTACACATGGGGGCGGGGAGGGGTGGGAGGGTAACGTTAAGATGGACCTTGGGGAGACAGGAATCGATGGAGCGAGCTGAATGCAGCTAGCTCAGGATAGAGCCTGGTGGCGGGCTTTTGTGAACACGGTGATGTACCGTCTGGTCCCATCAGGAAAGCGAGCTATTCTTTGACAAACCGATATCGCGGAGGATGAGGTTGGCGGAACACGCGTTACACATGGGGGCGGGGAGGGGTGGGAGGGTAACGTTAAGATGGACCTTGGGGAGACAGGAATCGATGGAGCGAGCTGAATGCAGCTAGCTCAGGATAGAGCCTGGTGGCGGGCTTTTGTGAACACGGTGATGTACCGTCTGGTCCCATCAGGAAAGCGAGCTATTCTTTGACAAACCGAGTATACAATCGATTTTTGAAAGAATTTCCAGCGCCATAAAGTGAGTGACTACTTACAACTGAAACGAAGAAAATTAGGAGCTTCACATTTTGTGCCCTTAACCTAACATTGTAAGATTATTAGAAAATTGATATGGTTGGCATACAGCAGATATGGAGAAAAATTGCATACGGAATTTAGAATGGAAATTCTAATTTTAAAAAATCTGTGCACAATATAAATTTTTAACAATAAAAATTCATAGGAATAAGTTGTGATGACATGAAATGAAATGATCTGGTTCGAGACAAGGCGCAGCCTTAGAGATCTGGCTCCATAAGAAACCTCTTTTTCAACTGAATATGTACGTATGTTACACTAATACAGGGTGATTCAAAAAGGACTTTACAACTTTGAAAGTGTATAGAAATTTATTCAGAAGGCTTACAGAATCATCAAAGACAGTTTCGTATAGACAGCATTCGATGTCAAAATTAAATTGTCTTTCACAAACGATTTTATATCAAAATAAAACCCGTTATTCTTTAAAATAAATTACCATCAATCGATCTAATTTTACTGCGTCTTTCAGAATCGCTTCGCTTCTGTTGCTTGTTTATTCTGTTACTTTACAAAGCCGTATCAGTTCATGACGTCACGTAGCTTTAAATTAGCAATATCTCCACGAGCTGCTCAATGAGATCACATGCTTTCTTGTACAGGTGAATGTCTGGGAGACTGTGATGTATGCTACTGCTACCGTCGCCGTCATCCTGTACCTCTTTGCGATTCGAAACGTCGGGCGCATACCAGGACGCCGAAGCCTCGAGTTGGAACACATCCTGCTGTTCATGACGCAGGCCGGCCTCTTCCTGTACATCCTTTTCCAGATCATCGGGGCATATTTCTCTCTGGATGTGAAACCCCGCTGGGCAATCATGCGGATCATAACACCCGTGGCCGCCCTGGTGCAGAGCATGAGCCAAACGATCCTGGTGCTAGACGCGTGGAAGAGGCGGTGCAACACTAAAGAGCAGATAGACCAGAAACCAGGGAAACAGCTGATTACGTTTCTGCTGATCGCCAATCTCGCCATGTGGGTGGTCAACAGGCTGAAGAACAACCGGGCCGAGTTCCACCCTCTGCAGGCAGAGTTTTACGGCGTCTGGGCCTGGACCATAATCACTCACATATCAATGCCCCTAGTGGTGTGTTACCGCTTTCAGTCCACGGTTTGTCTATACGAGATATGGAAACATGTTTACAAGATGCGATCCCTAGATCCCTAGATATCTCAAAACACGTGCTAAAAGGTCAAGTACCAGCATGTACTATGACATGTTTCAACAGTACATTTCATGAACATATATTTATTAAATTGAGTCTGTGCAGGTTTATAAAAATGATACTACCATCATGATTTTCGGTTGTAACACCATCATTTGATGCCTGGGAGAAATCGGATTCAATTTGTTGGATTGTTTGCTCTAGTTTGGCTTATTATAAACAATTTTAGAATAATGTTGTAAAAGACCACAGTATACACTAGACATTCGTGTTTGGCATGAAAAATTACGAATAACATGCTAGTATTCATGATCTTTAAAGTCCTATAATGTTACAATTAGATAAATTAAAACTTCATACAGAATGAATAAACAAGTAATATTGATGGTTGACTGTCCAATATTATTGCACATATTAAGAGAAAATTAATTTTACATAAATTGTTGGTACATGTTTCAAAGTTTTATTTTAATACGCCGGTATATTAACACAGCAAAGCAAATCTGATTTCAACGCAGTCAAAATTCATCAAAAACTTACTTTGTGCTTCCCATTTTATTCAGACCTACTGCTAAAGCAAATAAGAATTTATTTTCATGCAGAATAGCCTATAAGATGTGATAAGACAGTTTATTTATGATCTTACGTAAAGCAAACATTAAATTTGTCCGATCTAAAGAACACTGAAATGGCTCGAAAAATTTTCCCAAAACTTCCCAGTTTTAAAATTAATGAAAATCCGCTCAGACATTCTCAGTTTTTTCATACGTACGGACAGACTAACGAACGGAGCGATTTTAAGAGGCTCTTTGTATGGTTGAAAACACATCTGAAAACGAAGACAAATTCATTATGGAGGCGTGTTTATCCAAGCCTGCAGCTGTTGTGGATCATTATTGGCATTACTATATAAAAACCAATTCAAATTCTTTATGAACGCGTGTTTATCCAAGCTTGCAGTTGTTTAAATTCATAATTGCCTTTACTGTAGAAAAATCAGTTACAATTCATTAGGGAAAAGTGTTATCGGAGGCGGTAGCGGTTGACTGAATGCCGTGAGTATAGTTACTATGGATTAATAAACGTAAAGTTTCATTCGCTACAAAAGTTTTCTGACATCGGTTCAGTGATAATTCATTGATATTATCACTATTACCTATCCGTAAAGATAAACATAAAAATAAGTAAGTTTAACTCTAAAACTCTCCGTAACGGGATGCTCCGGTTTCGAATTTCGTCGCTGAGACCGGCTATCCTAACTGAGGTTTTCCTCAGTATCCCCAAGAATATGCTGGAACGTTCAAGTTATTATCTCTTTCTTCACCATCCTTTTCGCGTTCAATAATCACAGCCATCATAGAATCCAATTATATATAACCTGTGCAGATAAACAAGTATTGTTAAATAACCTAACAGTCAATCATCATCTAACTAATGATTGCAAATACCAGATAATGGCGTTACGCCGAAACGTGTTATTATTTCTATAATATGGTGTAGGCTGGATATAATACATATGTTTATGCAATAAGTATGAACGTATGTGAATGTGTATTACTAGACATAGTATCTTCAAAGAAGATTTTTGTAAGAGCAAAATGATGGAACAATTAGCATAACTTGATTTCTGTTGAGTAAATAAGGTCTTTCTCATTCTGCAACCACGAGGTTTAAAAATACAGTCAAACTACCAGTAGAACTTTTGGAACAGTGAAACCTAAGTCTTGGCAATGTGTGATCAGATTCAAGAGGTCATCAATTTCATTCTATTTTCCGGAGGTACTGTCGGTCTCATACCTTGAACAAACTCATTATCAAACTTGTTTTTGAAATCCAGTCATTTGAGACACCATGGTTTCTAACATCCTAATCGAATTGTCTAAAATAAAATATGTTAAAATTAATTTTGTCTTCCTTCAGAACCTCTGCGTTCAAAAACATCTATTTTAAACCAACGACTTGGAGGAGATGCATCTTACAAGCCAAATGACAATGTTATTGACTTAGGTGAAGAATAATTTTACGTAATTTTAGAACTGATGGCCTAATCCTTTAAATAAAAGTGGTAACTATACATACCACCTGCTTTAACACTCAACAAAACTGAATCTTACTCAGAGTGTATTTATGGGTTTCGTTTGATTCTCAAAATAAACAGCGGTTATTTCCCTAAACAGAATTAACCTACTAAACTTTGTAGTGGGGATATGTTGTGTTTTATTTGAAGTAGAAAGTGGAATGTTAAATATCATTTAGACAAGTTTCGTGTTTCAAAGGGTTAATAAAAACCACACTGTTGACTGTCTCAACTATTAACGAAGCAATTGTAGAAAGTAAGTTACATTTCACAATTATCAGAAATCCTTTACGGGGTCACTTTTTAAATGATATTTAGTTTTTTATGTAGTTTCGCATGAAAACGATGTATTGTGAACGAAACTGAATTCCGTTTCTGTATCCGTTGATATTCCTATCTAAGACGCATTAGATGAAAATATCTAGGACTGCCTGAGACACACCGTTTTAATAAACATCAGATCCGATTCTAGTGCCTATGACACGCATTTCCAAATACCATCTCACAACAGCCGTTTATTTTTGTCACCTCTTCTCCTTCTTCGGCGGACCAAATAATTCTAGTTCTCAGGAGAAAGACTTTCTTTCCAACAAGAGCTGAGCGATAAATTCTCATATAGAGGCCTATGTCAATATATCCGCTTTTTTCACTTCGTGGAGTCGACTACATTTGTCTGTATCGGCTACACTGATAAATCAATCACATCTTTAGATGTTCCAGATATTTTCATGGACGAGGAGGGGTTTTATATGTTTCGAGATCGGGAACTACAAAACGTATTCTAAAAGGGGCTCTAGTGTGACCCTCCATGATGAAAGTTGTAATGATTATTGGTGATCTATTATTATAAAATTATGCAGCACATTTGCTTTGTAGAATACAACGGAAAGAAATGCTAATTTACTGGAAAATATAATTAAAACTGAATTGTAAAGTTACAATCAGTCCATTTTTCCTTCATTATCCATGTGATAGTATGTTTACAACACGTAAGTACATCAATTTTTTTCAACATAGAAAAATCGTGTGCATTTCTGAAATAATAAGCTTTATTAATCTTAACCTGCACACTTTCTTAATAATTTTTATTTTATAAAGCAGTTATAACTTCAACTGTACAACTGATTAGTTTGTTAATAACAAAACTGTATGGCCTTGGTAATATTAAAAATGGGTTCGTTTTACTACTCGAGCAAACTTTATGTGTACGTGTTGTACAGAGTGATCAGAATTTTAACGTTAATATTTGCTGGCACCTTACAAAGCGATACATTACAATAATAATCTATGAGCTAATTATCGAATGCGCTCATTTTTTCCGGGTTTTAAAAAATAAACTGTAATGAAATGTCTTAATAAAATAGCAATCTTATGAACAGCTCCACAAAAACCCGTTGAAAAAAACCAAGAGTACGAAATATGTGACATCACACTTATTTTATATTATTTCATTGGTCAATATATTAAGTATAATTACGGAACTGTATGGCAATTTAGCAAAAGTTCATCATTATGCATTATCTGAGCCACTTTGATCCAGTTTATATTTTCATAAACTGTTTATCTACTGGCACATTCAATATTATTCCTCACATACTCTTGGTTTCCCCCATGAACCGGCTCGAAAACTATTCATGCTTAATGTTAAAATTATAGCTTCATTCCCCGCCAACATGTTTATTTTTTTAATATCCCCAACAATATCATATTTTACAACACAACCTTCTAACAATGGCTATACTCACTTAATAGAAATCTCACTATTACATTAACCCATACATACGCACATGTTCTTAGAATAAACAGTGATTATTAAAAATGTTAACCGACTGATATTAGTGAAATAAAAGACGTAATGTCTTATCGTCCATATCCACCCCAAAAAATACGAAGGATTTTTTTAACTATTTGAAGCCGAAGTTCGTCTAAATAACATTTAAAAATTTTGTCCGTACTGCAAGGAAAACACAACAGTTCACTATTACAAATATCAACTCTCTAATGATGTTCAAGGAAATAATTGCTGTTTACACCAAGTATTTTACAAAACTCATAAATGCAAAACGCATCGTTACTGACTGTCAAAACAAGTGGCACATATATTTACCATTGGGATTTAAAGAGTTAAATTAACTACGCATGCTTCCAATTTATGAATGCCCTATCATGACTCATTCTACGCTAAAGGCTCTAACTTCGGAAAGCAAGCTTATTGCGTCGCAAAACAACTGAATAAACAATATATCTCCACATTTCGTTTCTGTTCACGGCCAGCTAAGCTAAGCCAAGCCTCTGCAACTGACAGAGCGACGTTACCTAACCTTCTGAGAACCAAAATAGGATGACCGACAGCTCTTATTGGGGTCTAGAGGTCTCCTGACGGACGTAAGATGCCAATTAGAGACTTTCAGCACCACTTGAGCCCCCGCTACTGACAGCTGTCAAGACCATTTTTATCGAGAAGCCAATGGTGACGGTTACACGTGGACCAGCAATTTAAACACCATTATGTTTCAACACATAGACAATTTGATCTTACATCATACGCGTAGTGCGGTAGAAATATATGTCAGTCACGCTGATAATATTTGATGTTAGTTTTTAAAGCTGCAAATAAAATATAAGACTATCATAAATGGTGAGTAGATAAGGAACAGGAAGGAAAAGGCATGTCTTAACTCTCATCGTTCGACTAGACAGATACGGAAAATATGATAAATCCGGAGAGACAGCGAGCACAGAAAGACCAGTCGACATAGAATTCTGTACGAAATATCCCCGAATAGGTTTTACGTCTTTTAACAGATTGAAACTCTCACTTTAAGAGAATAGAAAAATTGGTTAAAAATGATTAAGAACAAAGCTGAGCCTAAGGGACTGGAAGTAACAGGAGTTTGGAGGAAATATTTGTAACTTATACTCTTCGTCCAAAATTAATATGGCGAATAGATTATGTGTGGAGCATGGATCACGCACAGAAAGAATAAGAAATTCATGAGAAGGAAAATATAAACGTAATAGATCGCGTAGAAGAAGAAGGAGAAGAAGAAAAAGAGAGGGGGGGGAAGATAGTCAACATTACAATGGGCCATAGACAAAAAGGTTTGTGTATGTGCACTGTATCACACTGGCCCAGTATAAGATCAAATGGCGAGATTTTTGTAACCTTCAGGTTTCGAAAAGCACAGAATTTCCTGATTAGCTAAGCAACTTTTACGTTTTCAAGAGAAACCCAGTGCCGTGGAATTTGTTAGCCAGTGAGAGAGTCACTTTATAAGCTGGTCACTAAATCAGACAGTAAGTTGGTTTAACACGGAGGAGAGGAAACGTAAAGAGTTGTAAAACAAAATCACAAATTCTTGAAAAAAAAATATTTTACTCAAAATAAAACAAGAAGTTTCATATTTTAACTAAATTACTTGTGATGTAGCATTCCTTACGACGAGAAGATGAAGCACTCAAAATATGGAGATAGTGGGGTAGTAAACAGAAAAATTATACAAATAAGAACATTTCTTTCAAATTCTCTAAGAACAAATAGTTTCCAAACTTGTCTACAAGAAAATTACTGAAACTCATTCAGTGGAAAATAAATTCTGAATAAACCGCAAGGACACTCTACACAAAACTTACGACAAAGAAAGAGAACACATGTCCTTATAACTAACTAATTAACTTCGTGTTATAACAACTTCCAACCACGCATGGGGAGCATGCGCAGAACCGAAAACATATCCTCTGATGGAATCTGAGCGTTCATCTCTGTCAGCACAAAATCCGTCTTTGGGTTCATGCAGCTGGTTCACAATCCATTGTCAGTAAACTTACAAATTCCGCTAATAAACATATTTGGAACGTAAAACATTTCAACCTTCGTTGAAGGAGTTATACTTGATGTTTTAGAGCTGATTTGTGAACACTCTGTACTGAGAGTCGGACTAACGCGGAACACACGTCATTACACGAGAGTGCGTCGGCAAACAATCCAGTTAATAATGTCATGTAACTTGTTTATAATCTCATATCTGCCATTTCCTTCCCTCACCAGGCTCTCGAATCTGACGTCACAACCTTATTTCCGCATCCGCGCCGTACGAAACTTGAAAATCGATCACAGCTACAGAGACTGCTCGCAGGTGGGACACTTATCTAATGCCCTATGTTCGGGACTCCTCTTTATGGGTACCCAATAACACAAGATCCGTCCACACAACGCTGTGACTCCTTCGACTTACAAGACGTGACATCCTCTCAGAACTTCCTTCAATTTCGGAAAGAGACGGAAGTCAGATGGAACCAAATCTTGGCAGTATGGCAGGTGATTCAGACGATTAAACTAAGGCAGTAAACGTCTGTGGTTGTTCATCGATGCCTTGAGTTTTCGTTCTTGAGGAATGTCAGAACACATTCTTTCAATATCCTACACGTCCTCGACATTTTCAGCGTTCCAAAGTAGCTCAGAAGGCTCGGCTTTGAACTTATTTGGTGCCTGTGTTCTGTTGACTGTCTCTTGCTTTCAGGGTCTAAATACTGCATCCAGCTTCAGTTCCTGGTGACAATGTTGCAAAACAATTTGTCGCTGTAACTTCATATTGCAAAAATTGTCAGAAAACGTTCGTCCACTTCGTTTCAGTTCCTCAGTAAGCATCCGGAAAACCCAGCGCGGAGAACAAATTTCGATTTTCGGGATCAGCAATTATCGCTTGATTTCACACACAGGAATTCCAGGATCGTTTACTGTTTTTTGCTGAATAACCATTATTTTATCATTCCATCTCGTTCTGAGTTTTCCAACTGGAGGTTTTCCATCAAAATCATACATGCAAAACCTTCCTCTATCCTATCGCATTGACATGTCCGTAAATCCATTCGGATCTCTCAGATTTTACCCTTTTAAATACATTACGCAACCTGCATAAACCACGAATATCTTATTTCACACCTCGTACAAGTCGTTAAGAAAATGCGTTCAATTTCGACACCCTTCTAAAGGTTTCGTAACACAGAATATTTTACCGTAAAATTTAAGCCCTACGCCCAACTTTGAGGACCAAAGCTTTTCGGCTATAATGACTTCTTATTCAAAACGTATGCAGCCATCTTTCACAACTGTAGGACGTGCCCTTCGTCACTCATTCGAGGCACTAAGTAAAATCATATAAATGTGCCTTCTAAAGTGTTAAAACAAGCAATTAATAAAATATGAAGCATCACATATGAGAGGTATTATACAGCCGTAGAGGACTTCACTTTAAAACACGGAATCAGTATTAATTTTTTTTGGTTTGTTTTGACCAGCCAACGTCTGAGATTCAGACTTAATTCAATGAACACAACGTATGAGTTTCCATACGCAAACCCGACACTGTTTGTCTGTGCACTCAGATCTTGCGGCCAACTCTGGAGTTACCCACAACAAATCTAATTAAAAATTGTTGTTAAAAAACTCTTGCATAAAAGCTTTTAAAAACTCCTTTCATTTAACCTCTGAATACATACACAATTAGGTTAGTGTTCACAATAACATTAATTCTATCGGACAAAGGTTAACTGGGGAGAGGGATCAATTCCGTCCGCTTCCACTTGGAAGTCATCCATCCCCCGTACCCTCACGTGTTCCCAGTATTAGCGACATGGACTTCAAACAGGACGATCGCACTTCTGGTACATCAAGGCGAAACCGTA